TGATAATTTATATTAAACTGCTGGCTCCACGCACAAGGCACAGGCTACAAGGCTGCCACAAGGCACAGGCCACACAGCCGCCTGCCACAAGGCACAGGCCACACAGCCGCCCGCCGCAAGGCACAGGCCGCGGCTAAGGAAGGGAGGGCTCATGCCAAGCCGAACTCGAGCGGGGAAAGGAGAGGTCCTAAAAGCCAAACGTTCGGGCGCCAGATGAAGGCGTAAGTCATGAACAAGGCAACACCAGTTTGGAGTTATGATTAATAGGGTGTTATTTATTTAAAGGGGAAAAAACTTACAGATCACAATCCCAGACAACAGCCATCTGCGCAACCAGGAAAGGAGTCTAGTCTCCAGCGGAGCAGTAAGAGAAGAGAGCGAGCAGAGGAAATAGCCGCTTTTTTAAAGGGAGTGAGACCACGCCCCAATGGGCTGGTATCACAGCAGCTATTGGTTGGAGGGGCGGAAAGACCTCCCACAACAACCCATAATCTTTTTGATTCTTGTAAATGGTCCAGGTTATTTTGACTTTGTTAAAATACATAAGTCAGGAGCAGTGAGATGGTTCAACAGGAAAAGGTACCTGCTGCCAAGTCTGTTCACCTCAGTGTGACTTCTGAGATCCACTGACTCTTGTAAATTTCCCTCTAATTGCCACATGCATACCTTGGCATGTGCGTGTTCTTCCACATCGTTCAGGTGCACACACAAAACAAATACATTAATAAAATGTAATAAAAATAAAAACAGGAAGAAATTCATAAATTCCATATAAAGTAAGAACTTAGAATTTATGAAGAAATTAATATTTCATTCTTCTATTAATTATAAAGGTACTTGCCTTGAACAACTCTACTTGGTTGATGATGTTGAAATTTGTGTCAATGGCGAGAGATAACTGCATTGTCGTTGGTAGGTTCTCAAGCAAGCTGGACTCATCTTTGTAAAAATAATACATCAACCCCAAAGTAGGATTAGTAAAGCAACTCACCAAAGAGTAAACAAAAGAATAATGAAAATGAAGATAACAAAATGCAAATATTTTATAAAACTATCTTAAATCCAGTGTCTTTATTATAAATAGTAGATCTACATATTTTCCATCAAGGTTGTGTGTATGTGCTTATGCACACACGTGCGTGTTTAATTCATATGTGTGCATGCGCCATGTGTGCTTGTTTAGAGACTAGATGTGGACGTTAGTGTCTTCCTTAATTACTTTCCATTCTGATTTTGAACGCATAGGGACTCTCATTGGCTTTGGAACTTACTGTCTAGACTGGTTGACCAATTGATTCCAGTGATTCTCCTTCTTTATCTTCATTGCATTGGGTTTTCAGATATGTCCCTTTCTTGCTTTGAGAGACAAGGCCTTGTAGTGTAGCCCATATTGGACTTGAATTTACAACAAACTTCTTACTGGGTCATCCCAAGTGCTGGAATTACTACAGGCAATTCTACCATACCCAGCTCTTCATACATCACAAAGGTTTTATTTCGCTCATGAAAGCAATGAAGCATAAAGATTTATTTATTTTATGTATATGAGTGCTCTATCTGTATGTACAACTTTATGCTGGAAGAGGGCATCAGATCCCACTATAGACAATTGTGAGCCACCATGTGGTTGCTAGGAATTGAACTCAGGACCTCTGGAAGAGTAACCAGTGCTTTTAACCATTGAGCAATCTCTTCAGTCTGAGAGCAATGAAGTATCTTAACTACAATACTGAATATTGTATAACATTAGTTTTGAAACTTTAAACTTATTAAACGTAATGGTCATAGGACTGCAAACTGTGCTGTACAATGAAAACGGCTCAAAAGCTTGTGCTGCTCCCAGGGAGAGGAGCTGTCACACACAGAACAGACCCAGGGCTCAGTTCCAGTTATGAGTTCTTGGCCAAAATTTGCACTTAAGGCCTCTGTTATTTTCTTGTCTCTGAAAAGGGGTCAATGACACCCAATTCCCCAAATTTGTATATGTGTGTGTATGTATGTGATGTGAGGCAAACATGTAATTCCTAGCATCTGGTAGGCACTGAGTATAATTTAACCTTTCTTTTCCAATATTTACCTTGGAATATGGTTCTACATTTAAGAAAAAAAAGTTCATAGTAATTTAATGTCTGAGAGGTCATTTCCTTTTCAACCTGCTAGTCAAATCTAAATTCTTCTTTTTTATATCACATAATTTTTATTATGTGATAAGGTTTACAGTTTTGTAAGCCATCATTTGTCATGCTCACCTAGTATCCTCTGAGAGGTCCATGTGTATTCCAGCCAAGTCCTAACTCGATGCTGCACACTCTGAGGAATAGAGTATTTGTTCATGTAGGCAACGATATGGTCCATGCAGACAAAGAAGTTGTTCCGATTGGCTGTTGCTGCTCCAATTACATCACGCATCTAAAACCATAAGCATCGTCATTCACATCCAGGAGAGAAATTTTATCTGAATTGCTCATCCTTATACAACATCCCCGTCTAGTGCCCTCACTGTCTGATTTTAACACTCTGACATATCAGGTCCTAATAAAACGTTGGAGATCAGATTATCTCACCGACACTAATAAAGCTTGTTATACAAATCGAGTGAGATTTTTTGTGAGGCTTTGGTCTCATGATGCAGGTGAATGCACATAATCTTCACATATTTATGTATTACCGTGAAAATGCTAGTTGACATTTTAAAGCAACTATATAATCTCTACACTGATTAAACTGTACTGAGTGTTTGGCAATTATCTTGCAGAATGGCTGGTTGATCTTGATGAGTCTGTCCATGAAAGTACCCTTCACAGACAGCCAGGACGGCTGGCTCTACAGGCTCAACTTATCATGCAGTTTCAGCCTCTGGTCTTCCTTTTGTGTTGTTTAGACAGATAAAATCAAATCTTATAATGCTCAAGGCACGGTATTCAGCAGAAGTTGAAATGTGCTGAAATTACTGAAGCACTGTCTGCCGCTGTGACAATCCTTAAGGAACTGTCAGGTTTAGTTCTTGAATGTTTATAACTCAGCCATAAAAACCCACTCTAGGTTAAAAGCTGATCTTTAAGGTCTCAGCACAAAAAAAGATATATTGCTTGGCTCTTTCTCTCACATGGAGAGAAGCAAGTGGTTATAAATTTGCTTTGACTGTGGGTTTATTATAGGAGGAAAATCAGGCCTCACTTTCACAGTAATACTTAGCTCATTCATTCTAGTAGCCATGGAGACTTTTCTGCTTATGGAAAAGCTACTTCCTCTTTTTTTGTATTTTTTTAAGTATAGTTCAAATACCTTTCATTTTGATGGCTTCCTCAATTTAAAGTTTTAGAGTTAATAGAATCTACTTCTTAAAAGTATTTGCTAATAGCTATACAGACTCCATTTACATCTACTCTTTGCTGTGGAATAATTCTCTTGCACACTGTAAAGATTTGTTATTTGAATTTGTTTAATAAAACACTGATTGATCTGTAGCCAGGCAAGAAGCATAGGCGAGGTGATCAGTCTAAGGATGATGGAAAAGGTGTAGTCAGAAAGGTGTTGGCAGACGCAGAGAGAGCAACATAAGCACACTGTACTAAGAAAAGTTACCAAGTAACGTGGCAAAGTATGGATAAGAATTATGGGTTAATTTAAGTGTAAGAATTAGCTAATAACAAGCCAGAGCTATCAGCCAAGTATTCATAAACAATATTAAGCATCTGTGTAAGTTCTTTTGGAGCAGGTGGTTTGAGACAGGAAATGTTCTTTTACAACCCTTATTCTTCAATGACTCTCCAAATATTCTTCTACAGCCTCAACTCCTAGATCTTCTCTCTCCATGTTCACGTGCCGCGAGCAGCAGCATCCAGTTCTCTAAAGCTGTCAGACGTGATAAATTACAGGTTGGGTTGAGAGATTTAACAATAGTGTTAGCTGGAATCAAGGAAAAAGTTAAGTAGTTTTAAATAGTATTGAGGGCCCAAGGATTTGTAGTGTTGGGTTTCACTGATGTAGGAACTGAGGACAATATGTATTTCATCACAAGTTTCAGTCTAGAGAAGCAGATTATGGTTGGAGAGTTAGACAATGCCAGGATTTGTGATCTGTACTAGAGAGTAGAATTCAGGAGTGAGGAATGATGGTTAATTTTGAGGCATAGTCCGGTTATGACCATATGCATGAACTTTGAATACACGGGAGTTTTGTTTCAAGTCTCTTTTGTTTCTGTTTCATTTCTAGCATCTTTTATTCCTTAATTTTATTCCTTAAGGCACAAGTCTTTATCTCAGCTTTAATCTCTTGTGCACCTCAGCACCATTTTCAGGTGATTCTTGCTCTGGTTAAATCTTCAATACAATTGAAAGGCAGGTTGCTGTTAACAATTAAGGAACAAATTGATCCTTTCAACTGTCTTTGATCTGCTAGACTTACCACACCTAAGAATTATAATACACATATTTAAAAACACTGGTTCTTTTGGTTCACATTATAATTGACTTTGAATCTCCAAGTTCAATATCCTCCCTAGACTGCTTCCCATTACTATCAATGTAAAACTCAAATTTAGCATTCAGAATCCTTAAAATATTTTATTCTTGCATTTGTTTTTTACTTCCAAAGATTGTTTGCCCCATGACTGTCATTTGTATCTCAAACACATTTTATGTTTTGCCACTGACATCTTTTCATAACTGATTCTGATTAACTGACCTGCCTATTGGTGATGACTGAATGCTACCTGGCTGTTGAGAATGCTTCACCTACATCTGCTCCATGTAACTTGAGAAGCTTCCCTTTTCTGGACAGTAGAGGATTTTTAAGCTCCTCTGACATTTGCCATGTTTAGCAGACACTTAACATTAATAGATGCATTATTTGAGTTGTGACAATTTTGATCAGTATCAAACATCATGGTAAGTAGTTCTTATTGTTACAGAATGGATTTTATCCATACTACTGTGAGTGTGTTAAGAATCAGTAGTTTTTCTAGTGGTTGTATTGATTTTGTGATGCAGTAATCAGTTTCTTAAATCATTTATTATAACCTTATATGGCGTTGCACATAGTTGTACTGCATAACTGCACTGCAGTCGTGTTTCCGACACGTCACAGGCCCACTATGCATTGTGCACTTTGCAATATGCTATACAAAAATATGTTTCATGAAACACTTGACTCAGATTCTAGAATCTGCTATGTATTATGAATTACGTCTTTACTGTTAATTCAAAGGGTATATATCCTAACAAACTTGGCCAGCAGGTCTTCTGAAAGATTTAATGACTAAAAGGGAAGAACATTTGTGTATGGTGGCATGGATATGTAGTTCCAGCACTTAGAATTTGAAATAATTCTCCAGTGAAAGAAAAGACGGCCATGAGTTCAAGGCTAGCCTAGACTATGTATCAAGACTGTCTGAAAAAAAGTCAATGTTGTAATGTTGGTCTAAGCACATTTCATTAAATCTGTGACAAAGAGTAAAAGAGGGAAGAGAACAGAGAAAGAGAACAAATAACTACAGATTTAAATATTTCTTCCATAAAATTTATAAATATTTATTAGCCTTTTAAAAGTGAACAAAATTTGCAGATTCACTGTCTGCTTACCTGACCGATTAAGCTGGAGAACACAAAAACTCCAGAAAAAAAATTCAAGAGTTGAAAAGCAATTTCAAATGAAGTCTGTGGCTCTGGAAGGCCCCCAATAGTAATTAAAGTTCGAACTGCCCAATAATAACATCTCAGATACCTGTAAAAAAGATGCATAGATTTTCCTGTACATATTATTGTAACACCATTTAGCTCACACACAAAAACTGTATGCAGGAACTGGCAAACAGTGTGTGTGCTACTGTAAACATCTTAATAAACACTAGGACTTGACTAAACATTTAAATCCAAGGAGGATATTTTCTGTTTCCAAATTTCGGTGGTCTACTTTACCAGGCTTCTAATTTGGGGGTGAAAGACTTGTACAAGACTTAGCACAGATGTGCCATCTGTGCTCCACTGTGAATGGTCTTTTGGATGGAATGATTGCGATGGTTGGAGACATCTGGAAATATGTGTTTGAGGTCAGCTGCCTTGTCCCTTGAATCTTGATGTTGCTGGGTCTCTATGTTCTCCATATGAAACTTCTTCTCCTACATGTCTGAGCTTATGCTGGTCTGACTGAGGATGGCAAGAAAACTTTCTACTTGTCTTCCTCATGTGACTAGATTGGATTTACTCATATACTGTCTGTCTCAAGGTACATGGACCTCTTTTTTTTATTGCTGTTTTATTGAGCTCTACATTTTTCTCTGCTCTCCTCCCTGCCTCTCCCTTCCCCTTCAACCCTCTCCCAAGATCTCCATGCATTTTCTACTTCCCGTGTAGATTAGATCTATGTAAGTCTCTTTTAGTGTCCCCATTGTTGCCTATGTTCTCTGGGATTGTGGTTTGTAGGCTGGTTTTCTTTGCTTTATGTTTAAAAACCACTTATGAGTGAGTACATGTGATAATTGTCTTTCTGTGTCTGGGTTACCTCACTCAAAATGATGTTTTCTAGCTCCATCCATTTTTCTGCAAAATTAAAGATGTCATTATTTATTTCTGTGGTGTAGTACTCCATTGTGTAAATGTACCACATTTTCCTTATCCATTCTTCGGTCGAGGGGCATTTAGGTTGTTTCCAGGTTCTGGCTATGACAAACAATGCTGCTATGGACATAGTTGAGCACATGTCCTTGTGGCGTGTTTGAGCATCCTTTGGATATATACCCAAAAGTGGTATTACTGGGTCTCGAGGAAGGTTGTTTCCTAATTTTCTGAGAAATCACCACACCGATATCCAAAGGAGATGTACCAGCTTGCATTCCCACCAGCAATGCACGACCTCTTTTTTTAATTGAAAATATTTTTCCCTTACATTTTCCCCTCATATCCTCAGAGATAGTCCCCACATCACCACCCATTCAATCCCATATCTTTTCTCTCTTTGTTTTTGGAAAACAGTCTATCACACACAATAACAAACCAGAATAAAACAAAAAAAATAGACAAACCAAGAAAAAAAAACACTCATGTAGACACATGCATACCTGCAAGCACACACACACACACACACACACACACACACACACACAGAGCCCATAAGAACATAAAATCAGAAACTATAATAGATAAATTAGTAGATTTCTTAATGGCAGCTGCTTCTCCTGGAATGATTATAGCCCAAGAAGAAAATAAAAGAGATTTTATAATCCAGAAATCCCACAACATCTTAATTTCTTGTACTGGTGTATCTGTCAAGCAAATTCCTAGTCTGAATTGATTGGAAGATAAGGGACTCCATCTCTCACTAAGAGGGATGGCAAAGAATTTGAGGCTGTCTTTAAATTGCCAAACCAGAACTGATGAGATGGCTCAACAGGTAAAGATAATTGCCAACAAACCTAACAAGCCTGAGTTGAGTCACTTTTAATTAACATAGGGGAAGGAGAACTCCACATGCACATTGTGGTAACCTCCATCTCACTAAAGCAAATAAATTAATAAAAATTTTAGTTACCAAACTAACAACATGTTGAAAATATTATATAGATCATGTAGGTTTATGTTGATGAGGTAACTCTTAATAATTTAGATATACTTGTTTACATAAATGAAAACCAGAACAGATAAATTTTTTCACTTTTTTCTACACATTTTTATTATGTTAATAAATATGCAAATGTGAGAAGAGATGAGAACTCTTTCCTTAGTAAGGAAACAACTCTTGGATGGAATAGGTTATTTATTTAGAACTTCAGAACTGTAGAACAACAAATAAAATTACTTATCTCTGATAACACAGCCTGGATCAGGTATTCCTAATGTATCCTTAAAAAATTTCTTGCATATGGAAGAGAGGAAAGAGAGATTATAAGAACCAGAGGTTGGAGGACCAGAGAGAAACAGTGTCTTCTGAATATGGCAGAACTGCTGAGCTCTTGAGCTCCCACGAGCTGTGGTTGCCTTCATAAGATCAAGCCAGTTAACATTCTAGCAAGAAGTGAGAAGGCGTTCATGATCTCCACTCCCAACTCAGGAGCTGTGGACAGTGGATGGTTTCTTGGGTAAAGACAGTCCCTTTTGTTTAAGGGTGTGGGTCTTGGTTGGTAGATCGTGGTTCTGTGGATGGTCCCACGCCTGGGAATATACAGACAATACAAATTGGAGTTCATGTTTATATTTTTGACAGAAGACATTAAATTGGGGGTGGCAGGGAGGTTAGATGGATATGTGAGGAGTTAGAGAGGGTAGTAACAAATGAATTATGATCACAATAATTGTATAAAATTCTCAAATAACTAAAAAATAAATTTAAAATCCAAATATTTTATAGATAGGCATTCAACTCAGTGGGTCTCTATTAGTTTTTTTTTCCTGGTATTCATGGCAGGTTAGAACCTCTTACAGTATTTTGTCTTAGTTAAGTTTTTGTTTTTAAAATAGAAGGACCAATTATCCAGTTTTATTAATCCTGGGTATATTCCCAAAGGACTCTGTATTCTACCCCAGAGACACTTACATATCCATGCTCACTGATGTTCTATTTGAAACAGACAGGAAATGGGATGCGGTTAGATTTTGACTAGCAGATGAATTAATAATGAAAATGTATATCAGAAAGTTAAATTTTGACTATAAATAAAAATGAATTATGAAATTTTCAGAAAAAAATGAGTGGAATGGGAAAACATTGAAATGAGGGAACTCAAGCTCAGAAAAATATATACTGTTTGTTCTCTCTCATATGCAGATCCTGGCTTCTAAGTGATAAATGTGTGTATCAAGGTGGTGTTATTGTTAATAAACATCACGATACTAGAAAAGGGTCCACAAGATTGAAAAGAGTCTTTATGGAGAGGGTTGAGGAAGCCAATAGAATATGTGAAATATTAAAGTGGGAGAGGAATAATGATGACAAAAGGGTACAGTGAGGAAGATGGGACATAGAGGTGGAGAGGAGGAGGGAGATGTAAAACCAGCCAAAATGGAGTATGCTCAAAAGTCTCATAAGGAAAACTGCCTATTTATAGGCCAATTAAAATATTAAGTTAAAGCATCAGGGATGGGGGCTCAGGAGATTGCTCAGCACAAACAGTTCTCATCCACAAGTTTGACAACTTCAGGACAGTCCTTGAATCTCATGTAAAGGTAAAAGTAGATAAATGACTTCATAAAATTCTGCTCTGATCAGGAACTCACCAAGGCCAGCTGGCCTGGGTCTGAAAAAGCCTGGGTCAAAACCGGTCTCGCTGAACATAGCGGACAAGGAGGACTACTGAGACCTCAAGAACAATGGCAACGGGTTTTTGATCCTACTGGACCTATTGGTTTCGTGGGAGCCTAGGCAGTTTCGTGGATGCTCACCTTACTAGACCTGGATGGAGGTGGGTGGTCCTTGGACTTCCCACAGGGCAGAGAGCCCTGATTGCTTTTTGGGCTGACGAGGGAGGGGGACTTGACTGGGGGAGGGGGAAGGAAAGGGGAGGCGGCGGTGGGGAAGAGACAGAAATCTTTAATAAATAAATAAATTAAAAAAAATTCTGCTCTGACCCCCATACGTGTGCATGCATGTCTCCTAATAGCAATTAATAATACATCAATAACAGGCTCTATTTCCTGTTCTAGTAAGCTACACAGAGAAGGAACACTTTAGTACTTTATGACTGTGTTAGTCTTTGAACAAAGGTAATCATTTTCAAATTCTAAGAAGAGTAGTTTTATAAAGAATTAAATAAACTGGTGCTAAAATTAGTACTTAAAAATCAAATCCATAAGTAAATTATTTTCAAATCCAATACATTTTAAAGGACATGGAATATTTTTAACCTGATGGATATAAGAATAACCACCCCAACCAGAACAGTAACAAAATCCCACAAACATTTTTGGGGAAGAGTTTAGATATTTTAGACAATAAAAATATCACGGAGTGAATGCCCAGAAGGCCTCAACTCACTAACAGTGGACTAGATGTCAAAAAGACAAAGTACAAAAATAAATTTACAGGTTGTATTTCGATGTTCTATCACCCAAAGGACACAGGTCTTCAATCCGTGTGTTTCTTTAAGCTGAGAAAACTTATTAAACTTAATACTTCCCAAGAGTGGGAAAGGACTAGATCTTTTTCCTATATGGTCAGGAATTTTACATCATTTTACATCATTTTAGTGTTATATTTTACTTCATTTTAGTGTTAATAGGAACAAACACAGTATTATTACCAACTTCACCTTCTTGTTTATAGATGTTAAAAATGATAGTTAAATATGAAACGTTGGCATTGATTTTCCAAGTCTCAAGGGTTAGCCTTGAACTTTTAAAATATTAAATAGTATGGTATGTTAATTGGATTTTTTTTGCCCTGATGCTTTGCAGTTTATTTTTGGATTCTTTTCTCAGACATGTCTTGCACACCCAGACATGCCCAACCAAAGGTAAGATTTGTAATTTAATTAGATGGCATCATATTGATTTTCTAGGATTAGCTTAATTAGTCAAGGGTGTCCATCTCTAATATCTACAGTCCAGGCAGATAAATCTTTTCAAGGAGATTCCATCTGGAGGATTTAATACACAGACTCTCTATAAATTTTTAATGCATGACAACACACAGCTCCAAGTTAAAACAATGAGAGAATTTAAGATTGAACCTAAAGAAAAGTTGAAAACAGGAATTATGCCTCTGTGAACATATAAGGAACTCTAGAAACAATCTGAAAAAATTGGACAAATAATCTAAACAAATATTTTTGGAAAGATATTCAAGTAACCAAAATGCATATGAAAAAAAAGCCCAATGTCATTATCAAAAAAGTACAAATCAAACTGACACTGAGGTACCATCTTACTTATTAAGAGTGCCAATCATTAAAAAGACTATTTTTTTTTCATTTTTGAGATGACTTCATTCTGTTTTCTATACTAATTTACAATCCCTTGACAGTATATGGAGGTTCTTTTTTTCTGCCTCCTTTTCTTTGTTTCTCATGACACCTCTTTCCCCTTTTTTATCATTCTAGGAAGGGCAATACGGTGCTCCATTGTAGTTTTGATATGTATTTCCTGATGATTAATGATATGGAGCATCCCTCACATCCTTATCAGCCATCCCTCTGTATGCCTTCATTCAAAAATGTCCTTTAGATTTTTGTTTATTGAAAGTTTTTGCTATCAAACTGTAGAAAATTTTCATATTTGGGTCTTTAACCCATTATCATGTGTATGATTTGTAAATATTTTCTCCAGTTTCACAGGTTGAATTTGTATTTTGTTGATTGTTTTGTGTTTAGTGTGGACAGTTAGTAGTGTGATGGAAACCTGTGAGTCCACCTTTGCTTTGCTGTGTTTGAGGGGCCATATTAAGCACATTATCCAGCTCTGCTGTTTTCTAATAGTTTCAGAGCCAACTTTCCCACACTTACATCATCAGGACCAGCTCTACTGTGCTGCCCCAGCAAGGTACAGGGACCACTTGCCCAACTGCTATTGCTGGTGAGGGGCTGGGACAGTCCTGCTCTGAGGTCACCATGGCCATCTCCTCTACCTGTCTCAGGTGTTAATGGACCTAGAGGACTGGGGGATGGTATCTCTTCTCTGCCCATGCTGCCACACGTCAGATGAGTAGTGGGGACTGCTCTGCCATGCTTATTTATGGCTTTCGGGCTGACTCACTCACAACTCTGCAACAGGGGTGGCTCTATTGTGTTACCTAGGTGAGGTGCTGGTCCTGTTCTCCCAAGTGTTGCAGCTGTTGGGAGCAGGGACAGTTCTGCTCTTATGACCTCAGGGCCAGTTCTCCCATCTGCCTTGGGTGTTGATGGCAGGGGGTGGGCAACTCTCCCCTGCTCGCGCTGCCACAAGACAGATGAGGAGTGAGGACAGCTCTTCCATGCTCGTAACTTCAGGACTGGCTCACCCACAGCTCTGCTAAGAGGGTTGGTTCTGTTGTTCTGCCCTGGTAAGGTGTAGAGCCTGCTCTCCCAAGTGTTGCAGCTGATGTGGGTTAGAGACAACTTTTCATGCTCGGATGCCCACAAGGCCAGTTCTTGCATCTGCATTGATGAGTGAGTGCGGGGGGGGGGGGGGCATCTCTTCTCAGTACATGAGGCCATATGGCAGATGAGAGTTGGTGGGGCTAGGTCTCCCATGCTCACTATTTTGGGGCCTGCTCTTCTGAGTGGTGCAGCTGGTGGGGCACAGGGACAGGTCTCTTGTTATGCCCACAGGGTCAGCTCTCCCATTTGCCTCAAGCAATGATGAGTGTGTGTGTGTGTGTGTGTGTGTGTGTGTGTGTGCGTGTGTGCGTGTGAGAGAGAGAGAGAGAGAGAGAGAGAGAGAGAGAGAGAGAAGGGCAATTATCCCCTGCTCCTGCTGCCACAAGAAAATGGATGATAGGGACAGGTCTTCCATGCTCACCGCTTCAGGACTGGGTCAGTCACACCTCCACCAACAGAGTTGGCTTTCATTGTGTTGCCCAGGCAATGCTCAGGACCTGTTCTCCCAAGTGTTGCAGTTTGTGAGAGGAAGGGCCAGTTATCCTACTCTTTTTACTGCAGGGTCAACTCTCCCACCTGCCTTAGACATTGATGGGTGGGAGAGGGAGAAGAACATCTCTCACCAGCCCATGCTGCCATATGCAAGAAGAGAGGTGTGGGATTCAGTCTCCCACCCCCACGATCTCAGGATTGGCTCACCTGTGCTCTCATCAAGAGGGTCAGCTCGTCTGTGCTGCCCAGAGGAAGGACAGGGCTCACTTTCCCGTGTTGCAGTGGTTCAAGAGATCAGTTCCATCACCATCTCTGCTCATTCTATAAAGCCCATCTGGGCTGGCTCGTGTTGCAAGGTGCCAGATGGGCCCGTGTTTTTTCCTCAGAGACAGGGAGGACAGACCCAGACCAGCGAATGGGTGTCCTTGACCCACTCAGTTAATCACGATGCTGGGATAGGCTATGCTTCCTGATTATAGATACTGTTATAGTGCTCAGCTGTCCAGCACTATAAACTGAATTCCTCCAAACCCAGCCAGACGGCGTGAGGTAGGGGCACTGCTGGAGTCCAATGGGGGACCGGGATTAGCTGAGTTTCTATAGTTGGTATCTTAATTTTCCATAATATTATTCAAATCAAAGTAAAAGATGAATCAATTCACATTCTAAATCCATTTTGTTTATACAGGATTGATCTTTAAGCTCTCTAGGGCCATGCTCTCTCTCTCTCTCTCTCTCTCTCTCTCTCTCTCTCTCTCTCTCTCTCTCTCTCTCTCTGTGTTTGTGTGTGAGTGCATGTGTTTCACAATCAGTGGGCCTTTTGACTATAAGATTTAAAAAATAATCACTTCTAACAATTAATGAAAAATGAGGCCATGATGAGAATGAGATCGAGGAGAGTATATGGGATGGTTTGGAGGGAGAAAAGGGAAAGGGGAAATGATGTAATTGTAATATTAAAAGTATTTAGAAAACAAGTTCAGGTTAAAAATAAAAAAATATTTATAATTCTGTATATGTAACTGACTTGCTTTGAGTAGTATGTATTTTTGTGAGATATTTTCATTTTCTTTGCTTTCCATCCCTAGGTTGCTATGTGTTGCCCTTCAGAGGTATTCTGTAATGTACTCTTTCTTTCTATTGAATACATTGTCTTTTAACTTTTCCAGTGTCATTTCCCGGAGGCAGAAAGTTAGTGTAGTTTACTCTATCCTAGGCCTTGTATTGACATAAAGGAACATTTTGCTATTAAATAACTCTATTGTCATGATTGAACCCTGATTCTTTTTATATTAGAAATTTCAAGTGACCTGTTTAATTCATGAGATACTTGCTGCTTAATTGTCAAGTTTTATTTATGAGTATTATTATTCTTTATTCAATCTAGTTAGTGGGTATAGCTGACTCATAAATCCATGAAACCTCTCAGTGATCAATTAATTAGCTACTATTGCACCTGCCCCCTAAATAATTAACATTAATCATTACTAACAACCCTCATTAAAGTTATTAAGTTAACTTATTGCTAAGTTACCTAAAGCAGAGGCTTACAAACTTTTTGATTATGGTTTAGAGTAAGAATCACATTTTGCAGACCAATCTAGGATACACACACATAAACACACACACACACACGCATACACACTCAACCCTGCTGTGTACCAGATAACCTCTTATAGTTTCTATTTTATTTTATGCTTTTTTACTTGACAGCATACTAACACACAAGAGAGTGTGTGTTACTGCCCATGCTTCATAGTGACTAACAGTTGTCTTTAGTGGCATAGTTGTTGGTAAGCTGCCTAAGTGTTTATATGAAGGCGTAAGTCACGAACAAGGCCACACCAGTTTGGAGTTATGATTAATAGGGTGTTATTTATTTAAAGGGGAAAACTTACAGATCACCGTCTCAGACAACAGCCATCTGCACAACCAGGAAGGGAGTCTAGTCTCCAGCAGAGCAGGAAGTGAAGAGAGCGAGCAGAGGAAATAGCCGCTTTTTTAAAGGGAGAGAGGCCACACCCCAATGGGCTGGTATCACAGCAGCTATTGGTTGGAGGGGCGGAAGGACCTCCCGCAACATTTATAATCTTTTATCCATGCTTCAGTAAATAATCCAAATTAAACTCATAAGCACACACACAAATGCTTGGGCACATACACACAGGCAAACACACGCACATGCTCATACTTGCATGCACACACACAGGAAAACACACACGCATATGCGATCACACATAACCTGAAAGTAGAAGAGGAACTAGCGGGGAAGAGGACAACAGGACCAATGGGAGTGGGGAGAGGGTAAGCAAGGGTACTGAGAAGTGTGGATATGGCTAACATATATTATATACCCTCTTGAAGAGATGCCATAAATAAAGTCATTGTTATTTAAAATTAATATATGCTTATAAAAACTCAGGAAAAATTTTGGCTTATAAAAATTCATATACCCAAACTGAAAATTAAGAACACAAAATTATTACTCACTTGTTTCCTTCACCATTATAGACCCATTTGGTTGTGCCAATTCCTTCATAGTCTGAGGCCCAGTAATAAACACAGGCGTTAATGTGCAGAACAAACAACAAGTAGCCAGTGGTTCGAATGATTCTGTCAGGAAGAATAAATAGAAAGTAAGGGTTGGCATTGTTTCTGGAAAGCAGCTGACTTCAACGTTTTTGTTTGCTCTATGTCTCCAATGAGCCATCTTGCTTTACATTTGCCAAGTGTCAACTCTCATTTGCACGGTAGAAAGAGAAGGTGACATCACATGTTGTCTGGCTGCAGAGTCTTGAATGGGCTTGACAGAGTGTAAAAAAGTCTTCATTTCTTTGCACAGATGGTGTGAGTCAACTCTGTGAAAGACATGCCTCAAGGGTCACCTCTTCATCTGATTCCCATAAACTGTGCCACACGAGTTTACCTGGGTATCTGGAAGGCTCAGAGGACTTCAGGCTGAGATGAACTGTGACTGAAGGTCTCTGTGCTCATGTAGTTCGGAATGACAAATGGGTGAAATTTAGACTAAGCATGAATTGTCATGCGGGATGGAGAGCTGACTTGTAAGAGTGGGCTTGTCTTTACTGTTTAAGTGGAAACACAATAGATCCTCTTTCCTACTCTGGCTTCCTTACTTTAATCTTACTTGAAATAGCCCAATTTACTTTGTATAATGCATTTTTTTATAGCAAAATACAAAATGTCCTATGTTTTTGAGCAGTATGGTCATTGTCTTCGAAATGCTGTCTAAAATGTTCTGCTATCATTTTCTCTACTTGCTCCAAATTTACCAACAATACTCACCTATAGACATATGCTTTGTCCATTATAAACTCCAGGCGATTATTAAACTCAAAGAATGAAGTGTACTGTAAAAGAAATAAGCAGAAAATGAAAAAGTAACTTAACTGCATGTTTATTTGCATAAATCTATTAACATTTTATTCATTGAAAGTAATTTTATTCATGTCTTTAAAGACATGTCATATTTAGTGGTATTTTCTCTTAAAGGTGCACTTTAACACTTTGCCAAACTACAGGGATTAATGCTTTATTTTATTTCTATCCTTTTGTTTCAGTCTTATTTATGATGCTTGTTGAAAATCAATAGTTTTTCTAATGCATATAATAAAATTCCATTTTGGCATGATTAAAATCACACTTCCAAAACATAAATGAAAGAATAAAAGTATATCATTGCCAACAGTAACTTTATTTTTAGGAAGAGATAGAAAATTGTATATATTTTTTCTCAAAATATAAAGTCTACTAAGCATTAGCAAAGGCTTGTTGTGTTCTATTAGAAGGTTCAACAGATTCATGTGATCTAATGCAAAGAGAGTTGCTGTTTCCCTTAAGGTTCTTTCTTAAATGTGGCACATGTACACCAAGGGTACTCAGCTGTAGGAAAAATGAAATGATGACATTTTCAGGTAAAAGGATGGAACTAGAAAAAAATTATACTGAGTGAGGTAACTCAGGCCCAGAATTACAAATGCTGTTTTTCTCTTTTATTATTACTTTTGAATCAGCTCTCACTTCCCTTAGATACTCTTATCCCAGCCTCTCCTCCCTCCTTCATTTCTATAGGAAATAGGGCGTGGAATAAAACCATGGAATCACCATGAATCCTTGAGCTAAATGCCAGCCCTTCTGGTGATATGTATTTATCATCATTTGACTCTACTTCGTACCTTGCCTCCATGGCTACAAAAGGACATAATAGCCCTGAAAAGAGTGTATGGAGGTCTTCATTGATATGCTGAATGTGCTTGGGAGGGGAAATCTTATAGACAGGGTCCTCAGAGAGTACTTGCTTCAAATATCCCCCAATTTACGTGTGACTTCTGTACCTCTGGAGTAAAAACATCATATTTTTTAATGGTAATAAGTCTTTTTATGGTAATAATTCTTAAATTAGAAATATACACAAATTATTTTTTTTTCCCTGCAGAATTCCTAAAAATATCCCTCAAAAGCTCCGATTGTGATTATTTCAATGTTTGATAACTGTTTATTGGGCTTTTACTAGAAGTTTGCTCAAAGGACATTGTTGAGAACTAACATGTTTACGGAAGAGAAAATTTGTGTTTGTAGCATGTTTTTCATTTCTATCTGGAGACAGGTACATGAGAATATTTACCCAAGAGAATTGCCCATTCAAATAACGGCTTTATAAATAACTGAAAGATAGGAATATGCAACTAGAAAAACATCAGTATTGATTTATGTAACACCCTGCATTAAAATGCTGTCTGTGGAAGGCTCCCTAACGTGATTCAGCAATGCACTATGAACAATCCTTATTTTATAAGCATTCATTAAAAAGCCACGTGAACTCCAAAGTCCACAGAAATCTTTTTAAAAATTGGTTATTTTTCAACATGTGCCATCTGAACTTCCTTGTGAGATTCCAAGTTTGGCATGATGGTGATCTAGTGCTAGACTTGGGATTATGTTCTGCCTCAATTAATACTCATATTACAAACTCACACCAGCAGCCTCTAGAGTTTTCTTGGGAATATGGGATATAGGCAGGACTCTTTATACTTAGAAAAATCATAGGCATAGAAGGAAAACTTTTTGTGCCTGATCTCTGTCTACCAATATTATAGCAGATTATCTGGAGTAAGATGAATAATGCCTACATTATCAGTGTGGATGAGCAGGCTTTCCACTCTGCTGATTCTCATCTACCTCACTGATAACACAAATGTGCTGGGAAGACTAAAACAGATAATGGAAACAAATTGTGTACTTTGAGTTAGCCATAGCAATTGCTATTGTTGTAAGATCCATCACTGTTGCTAGGTTACGCTAGAAAGATAATCAACCTGCTTTCCCAGGATCCATCACTGTTGCTAGGTTACGCTAGAAAGATAACCAACTTGCTTTCCCAGGATGCAAGAACATAAGCAATTAAGTTAATTTATTAAATTAGTAAAATCTTTTGTGTTCCTTTAAAGGAAGATGACTTTTGAGGTACAAGTTATCATTAGTATTCATTTTTAAAAAATGAGTTACCAAACATTGTTAGCTGGTGTGTGGGTGCTGGGAATTAAACCTAAATCCTCTGCAAGAGCAATCCGTACTCTTTAACAACTGTTATTCTTAAGTATTTATATAAAAGTCATTCAGATTTTCCTCTAAATAGTATAAGTTACTCAACAAAGCTGAGTTTATGAAACATGCATGTCTTAGAATATTTTTGAATAGAAAATACATATAAGTATTTCAAATAAACATTATATATGACCCTTAAAAATTGTGTTCTCTTTGCCTTTATGCATCCTGATTTTTCTTCTCATATTAGGCAGCTGCTTTAATTAGTTTCTGAAAAATAGTATGTAGGAGTTTATGTAAATTTAGAAATTTTTTCTTTCTAGTTTACATAAACTAGTTTTGTTCTGTAAATTACTCTCTATGTAGCTTTTTCCTTTTTTAAGGAATTTATTAACTTATATCTATATTAATACATAGAAAATTTTACCTTATTTTCCTAAAGCTAGTTAAACTGTAATATAGACACATCTCTGGGCCTCAAAAATTTAACTGCTTTGTGATGTTTTGTTTGTTTGAGACAGAATCTATTCTGTAGCTCAGGCTAGCTTGAAAATTATTATTCAGTCCAGACTGGCTTCAAACTCAAAGAAATCCTCAGCCCCTCAAGATTATAGAGATTATAGAGAGCTACCACATCTTGATGAACATTTTAGTTGTAGACAAGGATCTAAAACTATGTTTGCACTGTCTCTATTATTTTATTATATTATAGAATCCTAGGTGAATAAAAACTTAGAGGTGACCCCATTTACCCCTTTCATTTTAAGTCTAATATTTCAAATATTCAAGAATTCTCTGATAAGACAGGATACAGGAAAAAATTAAAATTATAAAATATTTATTTTTAACTATAGTAATCTTAAGAAGTACAAAAACACTCTTATTTTTGGTTTTAAAAATATCTATTGTAAAGAAATGGAGGATCCATGGGATAGGGGTGGAAATGAGAGGAAGTGGGGAAGAGGGACTGGGAGGAGAAACTGTAGCTAGGATGTTAAAAATACCTGTAAGATAAATTAGAAGCAATTAGGAGTCAATTCCATCAGTAGAAGCAATGACATTCTTCTATTATTTATTTAAAAATTCATAATAGTGATGAATACTAAGAAATAGGCCATTCAGAAAAAGTTAAGAGTACTATAAATTTTAGCATATCTAAACTTGATTCAAGACTTCATTTAGAAGGCAGCTGAATATAGTTTCTTTACCTTTAGTATCCGATTTGTTCTAAATATTGGATTGAACCCAAAGAAGATGTAGAGAACTTCAAATGGCATAATGGATATGACATCCATCTGTTGAAAGACCATACGTAACCATATAATTATGTATACAAGCTACTTCTCTGCTGCTATGATAAAACATTCTGCAAAGTAACCTAAGGACGAAAAAGTTCCTTTTAGCTTATGGATCTAGAGGGTTACAGTTCATCACAGTGAAGAGGACATGGCCTAGACAGGAAGGCATGGGGGTGGGGGAGGGAAGAGAAAGGTGGCTGACCACATGCATCCTAACTCGAGAAGCAGAGAGTTAACAGGAAGTAGAGGCCCAGAGAGCTATCACCCTCAAATTGGCCTCCAGTGTGGTGATTCTTCTAGCAAGGCTTCACCTTTTAAAGCTCTACAACCTTCTCCACCTGACCCAGTTATAGGGTCCAAGTGTGAGTTTACAGGAAACTACAATACTATGTAAAAGTTGACAATCCATAATGAATTATTTACTATTTAATCCAAAAATTGCTTTCAGTTAAATATGCATGATACCATTTATAGACATTAATACCATGAGAACAAGGAAACTAGTTTGTAGTCTGCCAGTATATTTTATTTTCCCCTACATGTATTGGAACTATCTTTAGACATCATCTTTGCTCAGATTTTTCTTATCTCACATAGTTCAGTGATGACACAGATGCTAATGTTAAAACACATTTTTATAGGCTTTGAAACATGAGATTCTAGAATACAAATCAAATCTATTTTTGATTTTGTTTGAAACTTATAAATTCATTGCAATGAAACTATTTTATGGTCCATTCATTCCTCCAGTGCTCAGAGTGGAATTTGTCAGTCTGGTTCATCTAGGTTCCTTAGTGATTTCCATCACTGTCTTCTTTGGATTGCTTTACTACCAACTACCTGGTAGGAAAGTTTCTATCAGAGACTACACAGGTTAAAAGAGAGATAGAAATCTTCTCTGTTTACAATCAATCAGCAAAGCAAATGAGAGAAAGTATTGGAAAGCACTGTGATATTGTAGCTAAAATACTCATTTTAAAACTATTCAAGCCTTCTTATACCTTGGTAATCTTATGACGCTCCTTAATAATCAACATAATTCTGTCTACTTTTTAAAAAATATTTTTAAAAATCTTGTGTGTGTGTGTGAGAGAGAGAGAAAGAGATAGATAGATAGATAGATAGATAGATAGATAGATGGATAGATAGACAGACAGACACCTAGTTTAACAATACTGAGTGCTTGCTCAGGTAGTACATTTGCTAACAGACATTAAAGAGCTAAATTTCTGTCCTTGGTGGGGGAGGCTGGAGTCATGAAATGGCTTAGGCAACCTTGGGTTACCCCATCTGCCTGTTTTCAATTAGAAGACAGATTAAGAGATAACTATAAGGCATAAGATCATGTTTTTATCTGAGAGTAAGAGATGCTGTGTCATCTAAATAACTGCTTCTTTTGTTTATTCTGCTCATATGCAGAACAGGTAGGAATAGATATAATTTTGTAGACTTTATAACACCACATCACATGAACAGCAAACTAGAATTTTGTGGACTAGAAAAGATACACCCCACTTTCCGCAGTTGCAATTTAACTTGGAATTTAAATATGGGCCCCCTAACTTACTTTGACTTGTACATATTTAAGCCCCCATTTTCAGATAGAGGGAAATGCACGCAGAATAAAATATGGAGTGAAAATGGTTCTGCTTAAGTGGTTCTGGGCCTATTTGTGAGTAACCTACCTGAAACTTTGTAGAACTTCTGTAGTGTCTCTTCAGCTCATTTGGATCTACCTATAATACATTTATATCATGATTATGTTCATCAGATTTCATTTATTAGTCTTTTTACAGTCATTTCCTTCTATTTTTCTTAAATCTTAGCTTATAATTATGTTATCATTATACAGCCTTTTGCATTTTTAAAACAAACAGCTATTCATGTTGCTTGTTTTCTTTTTATTAATTTCACATATATTTTTAGCTAAACATTTTTATATGGTATATTTTTATCATATTCTTTCCTTTCCTCCAATTCTTCCAAGATCCAAGACCCTCCTCACCTCCATAGACACCTAACTTCATGGCCTTTCTCTCCAAAAAAAAAAAAAAAAAAGAAAGAAAAGAAAAGAAACAAAAAACAAAATACAAAAATCAAGACAAAAGCAAACCAAGGCAAATCAAAAATGCACACATACAAGAAGAAACACAGAATCTGTTTTGTTTCCTTTTTGTTATTGTCCCCCAGTTTAACATAGGACTATCAGGAGAGTCAGTCATATTGCTTTAATACATTCTTTTCTCATATCCACCCCTAACCTGCAGGAGTTGGGTCATAATTTGTTTTCCTACTTTTTTCATAACAAAATAAACAGTGCAAAGGCCACACAGGAACACTTAACATTTGTGTTGTGGAAATCAGGATATTTTGAAGCAATAAATTTTTGGATCTTCGTAAAATTTTATTTATCATTATGTATGTATTTGTAATGTGTGTGTGTGTGTGTGTGCGTGCGTGCGTGCACGCGCGCATGTGTGTGTGTAGATCATAGGACATCTTTGTGGGGTTAGTTCTTCCCTTCCGTCTTTACCTGGGTTTGAGAGTCAAACTCAGATCACCAGACTGGGTAGCAAACACCTTTTTACTTGTTGAGCAATCTTCCATTCCCTTGGATAATTTATTTAAAACCAGGCTACCTGGCTGAATTATAATCTCCTTGAGGACAGGATTGACTTTGCCAGTTGGGTAAAGCAATGCCTGGAATGTTCCCAGAACTCAGTAAATATTTTGTGCATGAAGAGATAGAGGAATGAAGAAAGGGATACAAGTTTTGTAGTGCTTGGCATTTTCTGGAATAATTTTTTTTTTTAGACTTCTCTTTCAAGGAAGCAGAAATGCCACTCGGTTTGCTTGCACGATCAGCATTTTGGTGTCTTTCTTGGACTTACTCTAACATTACATCCAGGAGTTGTAGTCAGTAAAGCTAGACTCACCATTATTCTGCAATCCCTTCAAGCCTAACTGTGAGTTCCTTATGCTGCGTATTCTCCAAGCATGCCTATCCATATCCATGGATAGTCAGCCTAGGCTACGCTCTCTGCCTCTCCTGTTCAGTCTCTCTCGGCAGTGGTCTCCCTGACTTAAGTGGTGCACCTCCTTATTCATTACAAAATGGCAGACAAAGGTCTCCCTAACTAAGATACTTAATCCCTATTCATGTCTAATTCTATGACTCTACATGATTTTTGGGGAAAAAATTCTCAAATTTCCTTTTATAGTTAGCCAGGCTCTGCTCTTCTTGTCTCAGCAACATTTTGAAGTTCCTTATCCTTCTCTATCTCTCAGTTTCTCAAATGTATCAGTTTCTCACTTGAATGCTTTTGCTGGGGTTGTTCCTGGAGCCCAGATCATGTTTGCTGTTATTGCAAAGGTGGAAGGGTACCGATGGTACCAGCTATCGCTCAGGATCAGATGACCTCTGTTAACACAGCATAGAAGTTCACCGTATTATTTGTTTGTTTCTCCCTCAATCCTGAGCTATATAAAAAAAGTCAGACATACTCTTTTGTTTGTTTGATTGCGGGGGAGAAAGGGTTTATTTGGTTTAAATTTTCACATCATAACCCATCACCGAAGGAAATCAAGACAAGAATTCAAACTGGATAGGAACCTGGAGGTAGGAGCTGATGCAGAGGACATGGAGGGGTTTTATTCAATAGCTCGCTCCACCTGGCTTGCTCAGCCTGCTTTCTTATAGAATTAAGGACCACCAGCTCAGGGTTTTCTCAGTTCCTGACAGGTCTAGCCTCAGTAAGTGATTGCTAAATGTATACTATATATTAGATTCAATTTCAGTTATGTGTAGGAAGAAATCTCTTATAAACTCTTAATTAATTGCATTATTAGAACTTGGGCATATAGTAGCAGCAGCATTAAACAATTATCATTCATGTTATTTAATATGGGCATTTTAAATATTCTTTTAGTAATGTTTAAGATCAGTTAGTTGGGGCTGGGTAAATGGCTCATTAGGTAAAATGCCTGCCACATAAGCATGAAAACCCGAGTTTGATGGTCACGGTAGCATGTATCTACAGATTTTGTGCTATGTGTGTATTTGTAGGAAGAGACAGGCAAACCCCTGAAGCTCAGTGGCTAACCAGTTAGTCAAATCTATGATATTCCTGTTCAGTGGGAGACTGTCTCAAAAAATAAAGGTGGAAAATAACTGAGGAAAGACACCTGATGTTAAAATCTGGCCTCCATATACTTGTTCAGAGAGACACAGACACACACATGTCATACACACACACACACACTCACAGGGGTTGACAGAGGTTTTCTGTCCCACCTGATCCCTATCTTGCTCAGTTCATGAAGTCCTTAAGTCCCAAAGAAATCACACAGAGATCTACATTAATTTTAAACTGATTGGTCCAGTAGCTCAGGCCTCTTATTAATTAATTTTTATAACTTATATTAGCTCATAATTTTTGCCTATGTTAGCCACTTGGCTTGGTAACTTTTTCGGCAAGGCAGTCAGTCACATCTTGCTTCCTCTCTGTCTGGGTGACAACTGCAGACTGAAACTTCCCTCTTCCCAGAAACTTCCCTCTTCCCAGGATTCTGGTTGCCCCGCCTCAACTTCCTGCCTGGCTACTGACCAATCAGCATTTATTTAAAATACAAGTGACAGGGTACAGGCTATTGTCCCACAGTGTGTGCGCGTGCACACACACACAGATACACACATATAGACACATACATGTGCATAATATGTGCACATATGCAGACACACAAACATACACATGCATATGAACACATGGACACACACAGACACACATAGACATCACACATGTGTCATACTACTCATCCCGATTTGCCAGACAACGCTGTTCCTAGCCCCTCTCCCCCTATTATGGTTATACTTTTTACCCACATACATGTGAGAAACTTTTACAGAAATATATTAAAAATCTATATAAGCTATGTTCATGCAATGACTATGGGAAAAAAGACTATCGAGCCACAGGTAGTTAGGCATAAATAGGTTTCATTGGTAACCATAAATTTTGTTTCAAGAAAAATTGAGTAAAATGAGCCATCATAGCTTCTCTGATACAGACAGACAGACAGACAGAACTCAAGTGCCAAGCAGCCATGTTAAAACATTGCATCCCCCCACCAACTAGAAAGCTTTTATTAAAAATCACATTTACACCTTCCCTTTCAGATTATGATTCCATGTCTGAATAAATGTAAACACAACTAAAAATGCTTGATTAAAGGAAAGTGGCATTTAGCAATTTTAAAATCCCTGTTCTTTTGAGCACCAAATAAATTTGGCACCATTAGCCTTAAGAGGATCAGTCTGTTTACTAGTGACAATTAGGCACTTACTTTTAAAATGTCACCCTATTTAATTCCTTCTCTCTTTTAAGCCTGCTTATTATGCAGACAGCATTTCTTCAGGGGAGGCTTACTTTAGGAAGGGTTTGCTAATTACCCCCAATCCCGTCCTAGCTGATAGTCTTAGAGGATGCTCTACTCAGATGTTATTATGTTTACTCATTATTTACCTCCTCTGATTAACAATTCTGCAGTTTAAAACAGAACAGAGAAAAACACTTAAAGAAGAATATTATGTGAGGCTGCAATTGAAGAATTACTCAAAGAAAGAAAATCCTTGAGACAGCTTTATCACACATTTCCTCCTACAAAAATGTCTTGAATATCTTTGAATTCCAAGGTTAGATAGAAAAATGGACAGAACACTGTTCCCATCTTTCAGGAACTCACTATCAGGTAAGAAAGACAGCTAAAGAGACATGGAGGACATGCTAAAAGTGTGGATGTTTATTCATTGTATTCCTCTGACAGTTTACATCTACCAGTTATATCTTGGGGTATGTGTACATATCATCTTATTCAATCTTTATCATAGATTTATAAAATAGGAACTATTTTCACCTTACAAGTAGAAGAGATTGTTCAATAAAAGAGTTAATTTAATTTCTTCAAATAATACCATTAGTAATTTTAGTAGTGAAATTGGAGCCTGGTCTGTTTATTTTTAGTTTATAATAGTTAACCTATGTTTTATTTATCAAAATTAAATAAAAGAAATATCAAAATATCTAGAGTACAATGAAATGAGTAATTCTTTTCGGTAATTCTGAATATATGTTATTCAAGACAGGGTTTCTTTGTGTAACTCTTGGAACTTGTCCTGGAAATTGCTCTGTAGACCAGGCTGGCCTTGAACTCACAGAGATCTGTTTGCCTCTGCCTCCAGAGTGCTAGAATTAAAGGTGTGCACAATCAGCATCTGGCTATAAACAGTAATTGTGGGGTTTGAGTGTTTAAAGTTGTCTCCTATAACAGAAGACCTAATAGATGTGATCGTTAGCAGGCATTAATCATTTCATAGATCCTTCATTACAATTGGGTTTGTCAATCAAAAGCTATAGCTGTGTGTTTTATCCAGCACCCAGTGCTGGCCTGTGAGCTTGCTCAGTAGGGAAGGGCCCACCCACTAAGCCCCCAAAGCTGAGTTTGATCCCAGAATCTATATGACGTAAGGATAGACCCATCCTTCCTGCAAGTTGTCCTCTTATCTTCACACATACACCAAGGCACCCATGTGAGAGGCACACACAATATATATAATGAATAAGTAAAATGATATTCACTACTAACTTGACTTCTACTACATAGAAGGGAATTTTTATAATGAGGTATTTTTGTTGTTGGTGTTTGGACCTCTACGTAGCGCCATTTTCAGAAAACATTGTGAGTAATGAACATACACAGATCTCCTGGTTTCTTTCACTGTGACTGTTTGCGCCTCGGTCTGTTTTCCCTAAAAATACTTGCAGAACTAATATTACCATATTCTAGCCCTGGTACAGCATATATTATACTTAATACAATGCATGTACAGAAGGTAGGTAGGTGTATCTACCTAGTATATGTAGGCATTTAAATGTTTGTTGAGTAAATGAATGAACACTTATGTAGAATACCTTAAAGACAGCACATAAAGATGAGCACAGTGAGATCTTCAGGCTGGGAACTCAGGGCACATAGATGTTGTACCAAATGTAATCAACTTTCAAAGGCTAAAACTATGTACTCTAAATTAACAGAACCACTAAACTTCTGAGCAAACAAAGCAATTAGTTCCTGCTCTGTATTTGCAGCTTGGCTAATGCATTTTGAATAGAGACCATTGAACGTGTTTTTAATGATTATTTTTCAGGGTTTTAACTCTCTATTGTGTGCAAAGATCTCTTAGAAAATCGAAAATAAAAGTCTCCCCTTAGTGATTTTGCCATTTTGCATTTGTCAAACATTGATTTTTGTGCATATAATGGAGGCTGAAATTAGTGATTTTTTCCCCTTCCTTCCTTTTCTTTTCTTTTCTTTCTTTTTTTCCTCTTTATTTTTAGTGTTGTTTACACTGACATGCTTCAGGATATCCTTCAGGAGCATGGCCACAGGGGAAAACCATGTTCCTTGCCATTTGCAAATCGTAAGTCCCTTGTTGTCTTACTTTGAAATGAATACCTTCTAATTTTTTCTTTGTAGCTCGAATTCTAATTGGCCTTAATAATAAAAACCCCGAGTCAGATATTAGGGGGGTGAAAGCTGAAAGATCAGAGCCACTAGTTCTTACCTCTACAAAATCTTCAGCCTGAATCCCCAGACCAAGGGAAGCATAATTTGCAACTGGCGGAAATCTGTGCAATACAATATAGTAGCTACATGCTGTTGAGCACCAGAAATATGGATAAAGTATGGCTGGGAATTTTGAAGCTACCCATATGGTCAGTAGAGTGAAGGTACAGTTATTAAATGGGGGAGGGCATGACTGCACTCATCCTACTGTGTATTGTCTGCTATCCTTCCTACAGATATTATGATGTTTTCCTCCTCCAGTAGAATGCTTTAGCAATAGAATGGATCAAGTGGAAGAAAGAGAACCAGGGAGAGATGACAAGAAAGATGAATTAGAATATTCAGACATCAAAAAAGCTTTATCCACAGAGGGACAAACATTAAATAAAACAATTTAATGTAAATTTAATTTTGGTAGTCCAATTAGACATTGCTCATTTTTCAATTTCTTCTCTCAAACTCCACTTACAATAATTTCTCCTCCTCTTACAAACTGGAGTCTTGGCTGGATCAATAATATATCACCAAGGTAGATGATATCACATATGATGTCAGTAATAACCCAGTAGTGCGTGTTGCCTGGTGTTTGGTATGGGAAGGCGAGGCGTGCGGGTAGCAGCCAACAGTTCCAGTGATAGGCAATGGTGACAAGAAGGAGCCATAGGAGATAGATCCGATCTAGGAAAACACAACATACGTCATCCCAACAGCATCACAGACACATTCTAACAAGTTTCTTTCTCAGTTTAATCAAACGGGAGCACTATCTTTATGCGTATGTGTGGTGTGTTTGTGTGTGGACATGTGCATGTGAAGGCACAGAATGTGTATGCACTGTATGTAGGGAACAGACGCTGACTGTAGGTGTCTTCCCTCTGCCATTTCTCACCATATTTTTATGAGGTATAGCTTCTCAGTTCACCTATTGGCTAGAATGCTAGCTAGCAAACTTTGGGGATCTGTCTACTCAGTTATTAGGATTATACATGCACTACTAAGACCAGCTTTTGCATGAATGCTACTAATCCAAATTTATGTTCTTGTGCTTGCACAGTAGGCTCTTTATAGACTGAGACAGCTCCCCAGAACTGATGATTGTGAGATCCAGAGTTTGTAGTAAGAACGTCTATGATATATTCAGCACAGTTAGTTCTTGACCTAGAAGGCACCGTGCTGCACAAAAAGAAGCAAAATGATAGTATCACTTTCCCCAAAAGAGAATAGTGTCTATTTTGTACTTTGACCAGACTGAATCTATTCCAGGGGGTAACTTTACTATTTGGATTCAGGAAAGTAGAATCCTGGAAATTTTAGATGTATCATTGATAAGAAACAAAGCATCTTTGGTACTCATAGTTAAGGCTTGCCCATGACAAGAAGGAGAAAGACCTTCACTCTGCCAGAAGACAGAAGGCTCTGAGTGGGGAGAATGGAAAGTCAGCTCACTGAGCCAACCAGTGTCCCTTCACATGTTACTTATACACGCTTCTGGGATTATGTAGGAGAGAATCTGCTTGATTACAGTAATTAGCTTAGTGAAGCCATGGAAGAAGACAGGACATATATTTATGATATATACATATATTTATACATGTGTGTGTACGTGTGTGTATGCATATTTCCAAGTTCCTTAGGGCTTTCTTTTCAAAGGTTATTTGGGTCAGGAAATGCCCTAGCCTAGGTTGTAAAACAGGCAGGAGTATTTTAAATCTTGTCTTCAATAGAGAAAGGAAAACAAACCTTTCGATGGTGGTGCACGCCTTTAATCCCAGCACTTGGGAGGCAGAGGCAGGCGGATCTCTGTGAGTTCGAGACCAGCCTGGTCTACAGAGCTAGTTCCAGGACAGGCTCCAAAGCCACAGAGAAACCCTCTCTCGAAAAACCAAAAAAAAAAAAAAAAATCTCATAGTTTAAATTATGCTTTCAAGATATAGAACAGTGTGCAAAACCTGAAGCTCTCTGTACTTCTGTGTAGAAGGGGTTCTGGTGACTGCCAGCCCTCCCTGGGGTTTCCATCACTGGTACCTGTGTATGGATCTATGCTTCTCGGAAGTCTCATTCTTTTAAGGTACTCTTTTGCAGGTACCCTCTGCAGTTTGCAAGACAACATGCCATGGTGATGTTCTTCTAGTTTAGAATTCTGGTCTTGTGTTGGTGATACCTCTGTAGACTTCACTTTATAGAAAAAAAGAGGAAATATTTTAATATGTTAACATAGGTTAGCTTGATGAGAAAAACATTTGGTTTTGATGAAATTAGAATCTTTGAAAATCTCTGTGTAGGCAAGCAAAGCAAAACTCTCCTGTTTAAACTAATGGCCTTTATTTTTATACATATTATAAAATATCATGTTGTACACCCTAAATATATACAAAAATGAAATAAAACAGTGAAATATATGAAACATGCAGAATAAAATTAATTTAAGCTAAAATTTTGGAAATACCAGTTTAAAATTTAAAGGCATCACAGATCAAATGTTTTTCATCCCACATGGTTTGCTTTGAAGTTACAACACATCTTTCATACATAGCTTTTGAGTTATGGGTAAACAAAGTTCAAAATATTGTTTTCAATATACATTTACCAAACTGTGATTTATTTCAATCCTACTCTTCAAACATTAACTACTGTATAATGCATAGTATACTTAGAAAATAGTTTCCCTCAAGTCTACATCATTTCATTATAACTAGATTTGAAGATGTTTATCTGTTCTTAACATTCATTTTTCTTCTTTATCTCTTTAAATATTGGGCAAATAATCAATTATAATATATATTATTTTGTACTATGCTGTTGTTATTCTTTTCTCATACCCACATTTCAGTAATTACTAAGAATGTTGATAATTCTCCCTCCCTCATGTGTCTATTTTTCACCTCCCTTTTCTCCACTAATTTTTTTCTGCATTTTGTAATATGCATTTTGTATAATATGGGTATTGGTCAATATTAACAATAGTACTCATAGCAGCCATTGCTGGTGGCTTCTGCACATTTTCTGGGCCTAGAGATCACCCTATGTGAATGCCCTATGCTTTTCTCCCTCAAAGTTTTCTTGAGCAGTTGTGACAAGTTCGAGGGAGTCAAGAACATGCTCCAGGAGCAATCAGACCTTGTCATTTGTCCCTCCTCCTTCTGTCTTTGTTGTATGTGATCTGTGTCTGATGTGTGTGAGCATGGATATGCACCTATAAGAAGGTGTGTATAGAAGTCAGGCCAAGTTTCAAGAGTCAGCTCTCACCTTCTACTTTGTTTTGAGGCAGTGTCTCTCTTGTTTCTGCTGCTTAGCCTTCTAGGCTAGCTGGCCTGTGGACTTCTGGATGATTTTTCTGTCTATGTTTCCCACGTTGCTGTATGAGGGCTGGGATTACAGATGCCTGCTCCTACCTCCAGCTTTTCACACAGGTTCTGGGAGTCTGAATTCTGGTTGTTGGGTTGTGCAGTAAGTGGATTTTTACTCACTAAGTCATCTCCTATTACCTTTTGTTCTGTTTTATTTTGAGACAGAATCTTTTATGTCTTAGGCTGCCTTCAGACTGGCTATGTAGTTGAGGTTAGATACTGATTTTCTTGCCCCTGTCTTCCCTCCCAAGTGCTGTAATTATACACCTGGTTTACACAGTGGTAGTGATCAAACCCTCAATGCTCAAAGGGCTTTGTGCATTCCAGGCAAGACTTTGCTAGCCTGGTGCTAACTTTTCATGATAGTCACTTTATCTATTTTCCTTTTATTCCTTGTCCTTTTTTTATTGCCTTTATTTTTGGTGCTGGGGATTGAGCTTGTGTCCTTGCACAAGCTAGGCTTCTGTTCTACCACTGAGCTATGTGTACATCTCCACCCATTTTTGTGCAAAGTGTGTGGGTATTCATTTGTATGTGGTTGCACATGTATATATGAATGTGCATTACACGTATGAATGTGGAGGCCAGATGACAAAGTTAGGTGCCAGTTTTCAAGCACAGTTGCGTTTCTTTTTGAGATAGCATCTTTCACTGGCGTAAAACTCACCAAGCAGGTAAGGCTTGCTGGTTAATTAACACCAGGGACCTACTTGTCTCCATCTCTTTGGTACTCAAACGAAGAGTTCAACAGTGTGTGTGTGTGTGTGTGTGTGTGTGTGTGTGTGTGTGTGTGTGTGTGTAATGTGGGTTCTACTGACTGAACTCCAGGCCTCATTCTTGCAAAGCAAGAACTTAGCTGCTGAGCTACTCCCTAACTCCTTTTTCTTCTTTTCTTGGAGTAACTCTTATTTTTCTGCTATATCCAACCCTGAGGGTTACACTAATGCACCATCACATTAATTTCCTTCTTAGTCTCCTTTTGCTACTCTCAGATCTCTGAATAAC